AGATAAAAATGACAAAAAAAAAAAAAACCCACATAGCATTGGAGATTGGACTGGTGGTTACTATTGGAGAAGGGGGGAGGGGAGAGGGCAAAAGAGGTGATTAGGGTCACATCTGAGGGGATGCACTATAATTAGTGTTCGGGTGGTGAACATGATGTAATGTACACAGAATTCGAAATATGACATACATCCAAAAAAAATAAAAATTAAAAAAAAGTTAAACAAGGAAAAAAAAACAATTGGGAGAAGATATTTGCAAACCATATATCACATGGGTTAATATCCAAAATATACAAAGAACTCATATGTCTCAACAACCAAAAACCAACAACCCTATTAAAAAAATGGGCAAAGTTCTGAACAGAGACTTCTCCAAAGAAGATATATGGATAGGCAACTGACACATGAAAACATGTCCAACATCATTAGCTATCAGCGAAATGCAAATCAAAACTACAATGGGATATCACCTCACTCTGGTCAGAATGGGTATAATTAGCAAGACAAGAAACAGCAAGTATTGGAGAGGATGTAGAGAGAAGACAACCCTCACACTGCTGGTGGGAGTGCAAACTGGTACAGCCACTATGGAAAACAGTGCAGAGTTTCCTTAGAAATTTAAGAATAGATCTACCATATAATCCAGCTATTCCACTGCTGGGAGTTTATCCAAATAACTTGAAAACACAAATGCATAAAGACACATGCAACCCTATGTTCATCGCAGCATTATTCGCAATAGCCAAGTCTTGGAAGCAACCTAGGTGCCCATCAAGGGAAAAGTGGATAAAGAAGATGTGGTATATATCCACACAATGGAATACTATTCAGCCATAAGAAATGGTGAAATCTGGCCATTTGTGACAACATGGATGGACCCTGACGGTATTATACTAAGTGAGATAAGCCAGAGGGAGAAAGTCAAAAACCATATGATCTTACTCATATGTAGAAGATAAAAACAATGACAAGCAGACACATAGCAACAGAGATTGGGTTGGTGGTTACCAGAGGGGAGGGGAGGAGACAGGAGAGTGAAAAGGGTGATTAGGCACAAATGAGTGGTGATGGATTATAATTAGTCTTTGGGTGTGAACATGATGTAATCTACACAGAATTTGAAATATATTAGGATATACACCTGAAATTTATACAATGTTATAATCCAATGCTACTGGAATAAAAGCAAAATTTCAAAGTTAGTTATAAGGTAAACAATCCTAAAATTCATACGGAACCACAAAAGAGCACGAATAACCAAAGTAATTTTGAGAAAGAAAAACAAACCTGGAGGGATCACACTTCCTGATTTCAAACTAGAGTATAAAACTATAGTAATTAAAACCATTTGGTATTGGCAAAATAACAGACACATAGGTCAATGGAACAGAATCACAGAGGCCCAAAATAAATCCATGCAAATATATTCAACTAATAATTGACAAGGGAACCAAGAATACTCAAGGGAAAAAACACAGTCTCTTCATTAAACGATACTGGAAAAAGTGGATATTCAAATACAAAAGAATGAAACTAGACCAGAATCTTACTCCACTCACAAAAATTAAGTCAAAATACATTAAAGACTTAAATGGAAGACCTGAAACTGTAAAAATCCAACAGGAAAACATAGAGAAAAGCTTTTTAATGTCAGTCTTGACATTAAATTTTGGATATGATGCCTAAAGCATAAGCAACAAAATTAAAAATAAACAAGAGGGATTACTTCAATCTAAAAAGCTTCTATAAGGCAAAATAAATGATAAACAAAATAAGACAACCTATGAAATTTGAGAAAATTTTTGCATACTATGTATCTGATAAAGAGTTAAAATCCATAACATATAAGAAACTCATACAACTCAATAGCATAAAAGCCAAAGAATCCAATTAAAAATGAGCAAGAGACTTGAATAGATGTTTATCCAAAGAAGATATTCAAATGGGCAACAAGTACATGAAACGATGCTCAAAATTGCTAATCATCAGGAAAAGCAAATCAAAACCTCAATGAGATATCACCTCATACCTGTTAGGATGGGTATCATCAAAAAAAAAGAGAGAGAAAACTTGGCAAGAATGTAGAGTAAAAGGGATCCTTGTGCACTGTTGGTGGAGACGTAAGTTGGAGCAACCACTATGGAAAAGATTAGGGACCTTCCTAAAAAAATGAAGAATAGAACTACCATATGATCCAGCAATTCCACTTCTGAGTATATATACGAAGAAAAGGAAATCACTATCCCAAAGACATGTCTTCACTCCCATATTCATTGCAGCATTATTTACAATAGCTAAGACAAGGAAACAATCGAAGTGTACATCTATGTATGAATGGATAATGAGAATGTCACTGTATATACAATGGAATATTATTCAGCCATGAGAAAAAAGGAAATCCTGTCATTTCTGTCAATACGGATGAACCTAGAGGGAATTATGTAAGCGCAGTAAGTCAGACAGAGAAAGACAAATACAGTATGATATCACTTATATGTGGAATCTAAAAAAACCCAACAAAACAAACTGATAGATACAGAGACTAAATTGGTGGTTGTCATATTGGGGTATGGAGGGTGGATACGATAGGTGAAGTTGTTCAAAAGATATGAATTTCATTTCTAAAATAAGGAAGTCCAAGCGTGTAATGTACAACATGGTGACTATTGTTAGTAATACTATACTGTCTACTTGAAAGTAGTTAAGAAAGTCGATCTTCAAATTCTCATCTCAATAAAACCACACATCTATGGACGGCTAATCTTCGACAAAGGAGCAGAGGGCCTACAATGGAGAAAAGAAAGTCTCTTTAACAAATGGTGCTGGGAAAACTGGACAGCCACATGCAAAAGATTGAAAATTGACCATTCTTTTTCACCACACACCAAAATAAACTCAAAATGGATCAAAGACCTAAAGATTAGGCCTGAAACAATAAGTCTTCTGGAAGAGAATATAGGCAGTACACTCTTTGACATCAGTTTCAAAAGAATCTTTTCAGACACTATAACTCCTCAGTTGAGGGAAACAATAGAAAGAATAAACAAATGGGACTTCTTCAGAGTAAAGAGCTTCTTCAAGGCAAGGGAAAACAGGATTGAAACAAGAAAACAGCCCACTAATTGGGAAAAGATATTTACAAGCCACTTATCCGACAAAGGGTTAATCTCCATAATATACAAAGAACTCACACGGCTCAACAACAAAAAAACAAACAACCCCATCAAAAAATGGGCAGAGGACATGAACAGACATTTCTCAAAAGAAGATATGAATATGGCCAATAGACACATGAAAAGATGTTCATCATCGCTAATCATCAGGGAAATGCAAATCAAAACTACACTAAGATATCACCTTACACCCGTTAGATTGGCAAAAATCTCCAAAACCAAGAGCAACAAATGTTGGAGAGGTTGTGGAGAAAAAGGAACCCTCATACACTGTTGGTGGGAATGCAAACTGGTACAGCCACTATGGAAAACAGTATGGAGATTTCTCAAAAAGTTAAAAATAGAAATACCCTATGACCCAGCCATCCCATTACTGGGTATCTATCCTAAGAACCTGAAATCAGAAATCCCAAGAGTCACTTGCACCCCTATGTTCATCGCAGCATTATTTAAAATAGCCAAGACGTGGAACCAACCAACATGCCCAGAAACTGATAATTGGATAAAGAAGATGTTGTATATATACACAATGGAATACTACTCAGACATAAAAAAAGACAAAATTGGCCCATTCACAGAAACGTGGATGGACCTCGAGAGTATTATGTTAAGCGACATAAGCCAGTCAGAGAAAGATGAACTCTATATGACTCCACTCATAGGTGGAAGTTAGTATATTGACAAGGAGATCTGATCGGTGGTTACCAGGGAAAAGGGGGGGTGGAGGGAGGGCACAAAGGGGGAAGTGGTGTACCCACAACATGACTAACAAAAATGTACAACTGAAATCTCACAAGGTTGTAATCTATCATAACATTAATAAAAAATAAAAAAATAAAAAAAATAAAAATAAAAATTCTCATCTCAAGAAAAATATTTGTAACTGTGTATGTTGTTGGATGTTATCCAGACTTACAGTGGTGATCATTTGAACATATATGCAAATATCAAATCATTATCCTGTACACCTGAAATTAATATAATGTTAGGTGTCAATTATGTCTCACAAAAAGAAAGAACCTAAATAACATAGGCAGGGTACTGTTTCCTCAAAGATAACTAATATATTATGCAAAATCATTCTTAATACAGTTTTATGAACACTTTCTTAAATAAAAAAATCAATTATGTGAACGGAAAAAAGAAGGAGTAAAAGACTTGCTGAAATCGAGAGAAACATTGCGCTCAGGATCAAAGCTCAGCAGATGCCCTCTCATTCATTTTTCAAAAGAACGAGAACAACAAAAAAGCGAGATAAGTTAAAAAATCTGGAAACATGGTCCTTCAGAAAAAATCTATTTTTTTCCTCTTTGGGAGACAAGAGCAGATGAACCAAGATATATTTATTTACTTTCTAGTTTTGTGCTCACTTCATGAGAATTCCTGCAATGAAGCAACCAAGCCTAGATATGAGGCAAACAGAAAGCCTAAGAAATAGCAAGTTAATCAGAAAGAAAGGAAAGTGTAGAAAAGAAGTAAACAAGAGAGAAAGAGACCAAGGTGTGGGAAATCACACTGTTAGATGTAGGTTTTCCAGATATTTAAAAAAATTAGGAGCAACAAGTAGTATTTATGTATAAATATAAAGAATATTCCTTTCTCTAATATATTATAAGTACTGTAACATCTAAAACAAAAAAACAAAAGAATCATTTTTTTGGCCTAAAACAGCACAGTCACTGTTTAACTTCAATTTCACTACTCCAAGCCCCACAGGAGTTTGAGTCTTCACTTAAAAATACCTTTTTAAAGTTTTTATACACTCAGATAAATATTTACATTTTACGTACAAAATAAGAATCCTTACTACATGCAAATTTCTCTTACCTAAAACCTTGCTATAATACTCATCCCATTCTGGAAACAGATAATATAAGTACATCACATCACTCATTACGCGCAATAACCAATTCTCCAGCCTCTGTACAAAAGTCATGTTGTCTGTCAGTCCTGTTGTGCTTCCAGGAACATAGGAAGAAGGGGTGGGAAGCCCACCACACAGTCTTTCAATGGCATTCCCCTCAGAAAACCGAAAAGAGTATATAAATGGAATATTGAGAAGCTCAGCCAACAGCTCCCCACAAAAGCTTAAAGGATCAGCAACACAGATATCAAACTTAGCTACCTGCAGCCTGCTGAGTAACTCCTTATTTGTGATAACAGCATCACATACGCTTTTTTGTGTCCTTAAAAATCTCTTGAACATTTCCGTCAGTTTTACTTGCTTGTCCCACCATGAAAGTTTTGGCAGTTCAAAACTTGCTGTGTAGAGAAAGGTATTGAACCCTTCCATGAAAGTTTCTTTACTTACTGAAACTTGAAGGACCTCTACATTAAAGGGAATCTTGGTATGATCCATCATAAGGCTAAATGAGGGTACTAGGAGGGTTATTTCGTGCCCACGAAGATGGAGCTCTTCCAGAATAACTTTCAAATTAATCCAATGACTAAAATCCATGGGCCATACAAGTACTTTCTCAGTCCTTCCAGAGAGGAGGAAACACAGATGCAGCATGAAAAGGACACAGAAACCTTCCACAGTCTTCATGATCAGGTCCTGCTCTAACAAAATGTGGGTTTAAATCAAGTGCGTGAAGTTCACAGTCCAAATGCATCTTTCTTGACCCTCTCAACCAACGTATAGTAGGTTGGGCTGAACTTTGAACAGCACATTTTGTGTTATTGACTGCAATTAAATGCAATTGCTTTGATAAAGAAAAGGCCAATAAAGTCAATAAAGCGAGTTAGGAAGGAACTACTCATAATCAGAGTTTCAACACTTCTTTTAGAGAGTATGAAAATAAAGAAACAAACACAAATCTAAACTCTAAATAATGTAAGAAAAGCCATCACCATGTGATTCATATTCAATTAAGACTGGATTTTTTCTAACTTTTTGTCTGGTTTCATTTGAAGTTCAGTTGAACAGAATTGTCTCTCTAGTATTTCTCTTACTGATAACTCTGCTAGATATTCTAGACACGAAGTAGGCTATCGTCTACTGCCAGAAGAAGAAAATATGTGCGCCGTATGAGGTGTTAAGGCAGAGGGAAGACTTATCTAAATATTCTAATGCTAAATTTAGTGCTCTTTCTACTAAATCACATTTATCTTTAAGAGCAAAAGAAGAAATTTTTTTTTTTACTATTACTGCAGGTATGAGTTCAGGTTCTGATTCTACCTTAGATTAATGTTGTGTTGTGAAGACAGATAGTAGAATAAAAAAGACAAGTCATGAAGAAGATAGCAATAATCTTATCCTATCTTCTGGCAATGCATTCTATTTTTCTTGCTTTCTCAATTTAACAGACATTTTATATTGTAAAATTCTGTTATTTCATTTGGATCCCCATACCTGGAATCTGCTACCTCATGTAGAAATGGATCCAATGATATTTAGGACAATAACTTCATCTATAAAGTTTTGTTTAAAATGTTGATTTTAAGGGGCCAGCCCCGTGGCCAAGTGGTTAAGTTCATATGCTCTACTTTGGCAGCCCAGGGTTTCACTGGGTTTGGATCCTGTGCATGGATATGGAACCACTTGTCAGGCCACATTGAGGCCATGTCCCACATGCCACAACTAGAAGGACCCACAACTAGAGTATACAACTATGTGCTGGGGGGATTTGGGGAGAAAAGCAGGAAACAAAAAAAGAAGAAGATTGGCAACAGCTGTTAGCTCAGGTGCCAACCTTTATGAAAAAAGAGTTGATCTTTTTCCTCAAGTAGTTAATCAATAGGAATATATAATGATAATAACACTATTGTTTTTATTAATATAAGAATAACTGGATAATAAAAATTAAGATTGAACAATTATTCAGTTGAGCATCATATTTATAAATTCTATCCCCAAATAAAAATCATTCTCCTCTCCTTTATCAGTCTTACTTATCGTCAATCTGACCCTGGCTGTTTCTATATCTAACCTAGATTAACTGCAATAGACTTCTGATATTCCTACTTTCACTTTTACACATCTGCAACCCACTTTCCGCATATGAACTTTTCTGATTTTCAAAATAATCTACTTCAAAGAATGTCACTGCTGAGCAAAATATTTTAATAACATTCTTTTTTCTATATGTTAAAATCTACTCTGTCTGAAATGGCCCCCAAGATCCTGACTACTTTTCTAATCTTATGTTTTTCCACTTTCCTCTTCAAATCCATACCCCCTTCCTTTGAGCTTTTTGATCATAAGAAATTCTTTTCTGGAGTGACATCAGCAGATTGTAGAATAGGCGTTATCTACTTTCATACCTCTGACAGAAAATTGATTTTCACAGTCACCCAGGGATGAGAGTACTTTGGGAATCTGGGAGTCCAATGGAGAAGTTTCAATTGAGCATAGAACAAATAGTTCCAAGAATAGATGCATTGAAGAGGGTAAAAGGAACAGTTTCAGTTTGTCTGTGTTCCTTCTCCCCCAAGGCAGCATGACTCAGTGCCAGAAGAGAAGAGAGTGACCTCTGATTTCTGCTGCAGCAGGAAGTGTGATCATGTGAGTGAAAGCCTCGCTTCCCCAGTCATGCAGGATGCTGCCCGAGAGGCACACTTCTTTCTGCCTTACTCAGATTACTGAGGTGATCTGCAAGACTGAGGGGCTAGAAGAGGTTAGGATCATAGCCAGAGCTCAGAACTCATCAAAGGGATGCTACAAACTATTTCATGGTACTTCCTACTCAACAATTTGAGGACTCCATTAGAAAGCTTGCCCACAAGCCACTGGAGACACCTTGTCAGCAGACCTCCCTCAACTGGCCTAAAGATGCCCACCATGCTCCAGGCACTTCACTCCCATTATCCTGTTGACTCCAGATGTGTGCTCCCATTGATGCTGAGAGTGATGGTGAGGTATATAGACGGCTAGTAAGCAAGTGCAGAAAGCTGAACCTAATCGGTGAGCTTAGGAGAATTCTCATAAACTGGAGAATTCAGGCCTCAGGCCAAGAGAAGGCAAATGGGAAGCTTTCAAATCTAGGTCTGGCTTTGTGAGATCTAGAAGAGGCGTATAATCTGAATAAATCTCCCTCAAGTGGGAACAAGATGTGTGGAGCAGTGATAGCCTTGGAAAAGTTCTTAGAAAACCTCAGAATTCCTAGTCAGACTGACAGATGAAGGTACCTCTCTACCGAAGACAGTCAGTAAAGACTAAAGGAGGTGATTGCTTCTTTAAATGTTAACACCAATGCAAGACTTCAAGGAGCATGAAAAATCAAGGAAATATGACACCACCAAAGAAACAAAATAATTTCCCAGCTACCAAAAGCAAAGAAATGAAAATCTATAAATTGCTTGAAAAAGATTTAAATTAAATTGTTTCAAGGGAGCTGAGTCAGCTGTAAAAGAACACAGATAGACAATGAAATCATGAAAACAATATATGTACAAAATGGGAGGTTCAACACACAGTAATTATAAAAAGAATCAGGCATGAAGCTGAAAAAAATTAAAGAGACCATTTTGTTTAGACGAGGACGAAGAAACAGAATTCTCAGAGCTAAAGAATACAATGAACTAAATAAAAAATGGAAAAATATCTCAACAGCAGACTCAATCAAGCAGGAGAAAGAACCTGTGAACTCAAAGACGTCATTTGAAATTATCCATTCAAAAGAGAAAAGAAAACTACAGACCAATATTCCTCATGAATATAGAAGCAAAATTCTCAGCAAAACATTGGCAAACCAAATTTCACAGCATATTAAAAGGATCATATAATATGATCAGGTGATATTTGTTCCTGGGATACAAAGATGGTTCAACATAAGCAAATCAATAAATTTGATGCACCACATTATTAGAATGAAAGTCAAGAATCATGTGATCATCTCAGTAAGGACAGAAAACGCATTTGAAAAATACAACATCCTTTCATGATAAAAATGCTGAACAAATTGAGTATAAAAGCAGCATATGTCAACATAATAAAGGCCATATATGACAAACCCACAGCTAACATCATACTCAATGGTGAAAAGCTAATGGTTTTTTCTCTAAAATCAGGAAGAAAACATCTGCCCAATCTCACCACTTTTATTCAATATAGTGTTGGAAGTCCTAGCGAGGGCAATCAGGAAAGAATAATAAATAATAGGCAGCCAAATTGGAAAGGAAGAAGTAAAATTTTCTTTGTTTCCAGATATGTCTTACATAGATAAAATTCTAAAATTTCCTCCAAAAATTTGTTAGAAATAATCAGTGAATCCAGTAAATTTTCAAAATACAAAATCGACATACAGAAATAAGTTATGTTTCTGTACACTAACTATGAAACATTTGTAAAAGAAATAATGAAAACATTCCCATTCACAATAGAAGCAAAAACAATAAAATATCGGGTGGCCCGGTGGTGCAGCAAAGTGCGTGTGTTCCACTATGGCGACCTGGGATTCACTGGTTTGGATCCTGGGTGCGGACGAGGCACTTGTTGGCAAACCATGCTGTGGTAGGCGTCCCACATGTAAAGGGGAGGAAGATGGGCATGGATGTTAGCTCAGGGCCAGTCTCCCTCAGCAAAAAAGAGGAAAATTGGTGGCAGATGTTAGCTCAGGGCTAATCTTCCTCAAAAGAAAAAAAAAACAATAAAAGGCTTAGGAATTAATTTTACAAGTGACATGAGAGATCGGTATAGAGTCATGCACTGTATAACATCATTTCAGTCAATGACAAACCACATATACAATGATGGTGCCATAGGTTACTACCATATAGTGCAGGTGCGTACTAGGATACAGCACCTAGGTTTATGTAAGTACACCCTATGATGTTCCCACAAGGACAAAATCACCTAACAAGGCACTTCTCAGAATGTATCTCCATCATTAAGTGACACATCATGGTACTGAAAAATACAAGATTTTTGGCCAGAAGTGGCCTATTAAGTGTGGCACAATCATCTTTGGTGGCCTGGGTTGGCAGGTTTGTATCCTGGGCATGGACCTACACCACTTGTCAGCCATGCTGTGGAGGCAACCCACATATAAAGTAGAGGAAGGTTGGCACGGATGTTGGCTCAGGACTAATCTTCCTGAAGCCAAAAAGAGGAAGATTAACAACAGATATTAGCTCAGGGCTATTCTTACTCAGCAAAGGGAATAAAAAACAAAAGAATACAAGACTCTGATGAAAGAAATGGAAGAAAACACAAAAGATGAAATGACATTCTGTATACATGGATCAGTAGAATTAATATTGTTAGACTGTCCATACTACCCAAAGCATCTATATAAATACAATCTCTATAAAAATTCCAAAGCATTTTCACAGAAATAGAAATAATAATCCTTATATATGCATAAAGATAAATAGATCAAATAGCCATAGAAAGCCTGAGAGACCAGAACAAAGCCGAAGGCATCACACTTCCTGATTTCAAACTGTACTACAAATTTGTAGTGATCAAAAAGTATGGTACTGGCATAAGATATCCACATAAGCCAATGGAACAGCACACAGAGCACAGAAAACAAAAGCCTCGAATATATGGTCAACTAATATTTGACAAGGGAGCCAAGAATACTCAATGGGAAAAGGATGGTA